CCCATCCCTCCTCCATCCCTTCCGGGGCAGTTTCAGCCCTGCAGGGCCCCGGGCTGCCTTTACCTGTGAGGTACACGGCGAAGCGGGCGCGGACGCGCTGCGCCTGCAGCTGCAGCAGGCACTGCGCCTGCAGCTGCGGCGGGCCCTGCGCGCGCCGGCCCGCGGCGTCGCAGCCGTGGAAGGGCAGCGGCTCCAGCAGCTCTGCCCCCTGGCACCAGCGCAGCAGCAGCCGCTTCTTCTGGGCGCTGCCGGCGTCCCTGCTGAGAGAGGGGCGGGCACGGCTCAGGGGTTTCCTCCCTCCGCAGGGAATCAGCAGGGAGGGTGGGATCTGCCTTTCCGGGCGGGTTTTGGATCCAAAGGGATAAATCCCCCCCCTGCTCCAGGACTGCCTGTGCTGGTTGTGGCTGGGGTTGGTTGGTTTTCACCTCGGGAGCTGCTTCTGGGGTTGGTGCTGGGAGCTGTGGGAAGGTCAGGGATGTTTGGTTGGGCTGGAGGAGGGTTTGGGAAAGGCAAGGCTGCTCCTCGCTCAGCCCATGGGGGGAACAAGGCCAGGCCAGGGACTGCCACTGTCCCAGGATGTTCCAGACCCTGCAATCGTGCTCAGGACGTAAAGCTGGGAGGAGAAGGATTAGGGGATGTTGGGAGAGGTGGTGATGATGGAGCCTGGCTCTCCTGCGATGGGAAATGGGAATAAATTCTTGGTTTTTCCAGCTTTTCCTTTGTTAAACTTCTTTATCCCAACCCAGGACTTTTCTGCCACGGTAGAGCAGCTCCATCTTCAACCATTCCTGGTGGGAACTGGAGTGGCAATTCCTTCTCTGCACCCCCAGACCCCAAATGTGGTGGAGCACAAGAAGGACCAGAGGGGGCAGAGCCCCAGGAAGGTGCCCGAGCTCCAGGGGGTGTGCCAGGAGCTGGGATGAGCTGGTGGGAAGGGAGGGAAGTTTGCTTTGGGAGTTTTGGGAATGTGCAGCCCCTCAAGGGAAATCTGTGCCTCTCCAGGAGCCTGGGACACCCCCTGAGGGCATCTCTGCCCAGGAGCCAGGGAAGAGCCTTATGGAAGCCCAGCAGGGAGCAAGGAGAGCTGCCAGAGCTCTGCCTGATCCAGGATCGCATCCAGGAGAAGGTTCCAGGCCATCTGATGCTCCCCAGGTCCCAAGTCCTGCTGCTCCATCCCAAAAGTCCCCAATTTCCCAGGCAGAGGCGTTACCTGAGGTCTCCTCTGAGCTTCTTGCTCTCGCTGTGGTGCAGGAGCCACTTCCACCTCCCGCTCCTGTTGAGCTTCTCCAGCACCTTCACCACCTCCTTCAGCTGGCCTGGGGGGACACCAGAGCTGGGTGGGGAGGGGACCTGGGGGTCTTGGGCCCAGCCCTGCTCCAAGCGGGGCCACCCGAGGGTGCTCAGGGCTTTGTCCAGGGGAGCTCGGAGTCTCTGCAAGGACGGAGACCCGCACTGCGCAGGGTGGGGAGCTGGCATCATGTCCTGGTGTGGATTTTCCCGGATATCCGAAGGGATGAGTGCAGCTTTCCTCACTGAGCAGCTCCCGGGAGAGCTGGCTCCGTTTTCTCTGCCACTTCCCACCAAGGAGCTGAAGGCAGCAGCGAGTTCCTCTCCTTTTTCCACTGGATAGTGGGAAGGAACTCCTGGCTGGGATGGAATTCCAGCTGGGGCTGCCCCTGGATCCCTGGCAGTGTCCAAGGCCAGGCTTGGAGCAGCCTGGGACAGTGGGAGGTGGCCCTGCCCATGGAATTGGATAATCCCTAAGGTCTCTTCAACCCAAACCATTCCACGAGTCTCCAGGCCAAACAAACATCCTGGGACAACCCTGGGAACATCCTGGGATGTTCTGGGGACCCCGAGCTGGGTGCTCAGGGTTCAAATGTCAGCGAGAGGGCAAGAACTCCCCGAAGGGGAAAGTTTGGGAATGCGTCCCTGAGACTCACCCAAGGTGACCCTTTCCAGCAGCTCCTCGTCGGACACCACGAATCCTCCAGCCTGGAAGAGCTCCTGGAAGGTGTCGGCCGTCACCTCCTCGGGGTCGTCCACGCCGGCGAACACCACGCTGGGACAGCGCTTCAGCTCCAGCAGGCACGGCACCTGCTCCGGGAACAGGGATTTGGGAACAGCCCCCGCGTGCAGGGAGCCCGGCCCTGCAACATTCCCAACATTCCCAACCCAGCCCTGGGTGCGAAACATTCCCTGGGATTGGGGAGGCGAGGGAAGCCCGACGTGCCCGCTCTGAGCTGGGCTGCTCCGACGTTTCGGATGGATCCTGGGATCAGAGCAGGAGCAGAGGGGCTCGGGCTCACCGTGTGGATGTGGGAGGCGATGTCCTCGTTCCTGACGATCACCAGCAGCCGCTCGCCGCCCCGGTGCCCGCCGAAATCCGGGGGCTCCGTCCTCACGAACCCCTGAGCCTTCAGCAGGGCCTGGAACACACCCAGGGCGTGGATGGGGAACGTTCCCTGGGAACGCGGGCACTGGAAGGGCAACGGGGAGTCCCCAGCCCTGCAGGGACACACGGATGTGGCACCCGGGGACACGGCGGCCTTGGCAGGGCTGGCAATGGTTGGACTTCAATTAAACCAGAGTAGATTTAGGTGGGATCTTGGGAATGAGGAATTCCTGGCTGGGCTGGGATTGCCAGAGCAGCTGGGGCTGCCCCTGGGTCCCTGGGATGTCCAAGGCCAGGCTGGAAGGAGCTTGGAGCACCCTGGGATAGGGGGAGGTGTCCCTGCCACGGGGTTGGAATTGGATGATCCTTAATGTCCTTCCCACCCAAACCATTCCACGATTCTCCAGTGACTCAATCCCAAGGCTCCTGGGATTCCAACTCCTGCTGCTGGGAGCCAAGGTGGCTCCTGGCTCCCAAACCATCCCTGACAGGTTGCCCAGGCTTCCCTGCTCCCGCCACCCTCAGCTCTGCCCT